CTTCCTCCAACTTCTTCCTTAATCTTGTCCCAAGCCTGCTTTGCTGTCTCACAAGCCATTATTCTTGTGAAAACTTGATCAGTGACTGTAGCATGTAAATGGGACAGGGCTCTTGGAGCTTTTGCAGTCTCCTCTTCATGGAGTCTTATCTGGTTCAGGGTTGGGTTTGGTCCCAACTGTGGTGGTTGTTTCTCTTCTTTTACATACTGCCATAGACTCTGACCTCTCAAGTAAGCCTCCATCTTCACAGCCCACATATGGTACTGTTCCCCATTGAAGGTTGGAGGCAAGAGTGAGGCTGAACTTGTTGCCATGAAGTCTGTCTTTGGTGAGGTAAGGACTGACAGAGAATGTGTAAAGATAGAGGTTTTGCAGGCCCCTTAAGATCAAGATGGAGCTCTGATACCACTTGTTGGTTATATGAGCATGAAAGTGGTCTTACTGGAGAGAAAATGATGATCAACTAGTAAGAGAAAAGAGTTGTAATATTTGCGTTAGTCTAAACTGAAAGTTACAGCAGAAGTTTATACATGACAAACACTATTACACCTAACCATAAAACATATTTTAGTCCAAAATGACATCCTAACCACACATCCTTAGCAACTCTGATTACATCACATTAATTTGATACAAAGTTGACAAGGCTCTAGGTACCTTGGCTATCTCCTCTCATGTATCCTTATCTGGTTCAAAGTTGGGTTTGCCCAAGGTGAGGTGGCTGTCTCTCTTCTTCCACATACTGCAAACCCATGACCTCTAAATAAGTCTTCATTTTGATAGCCCAAATATAGAATGATCACCATTGAAGATTGGAGGTAAAAATGAAACTGGAGCTGAAGCCATGAAGCAGATATGTTAGAAGATGTTCAGAAGGAAATTTTAAGCAGATTTTGATCCAACGGGTTAGATGGCTCTGATGCCAATTATTGGTTTTTAGAGCCACAAGATACTAAGGAAAGAGAGAGGAAGAGAAGGAGGTTATTACTAATTGGTTTTCTATTCGTTCAGAGTGTTAAAAAGCAAATAAGAGTTTAAAGGCAAAAAACTTGCCACTGTTACACCAACTCTGGAGGACATTTCTGCAATCACATTCTAAACCATACATGTAAAACTAATGCTGGTATAAAACATTAAAATAAAACCATAATCACCGGCTACTATCACCTAAAGCTATCACAAAAAGACTTCAAAAAATCAGCTTCTTCACTAACTGTCATACTAAGACATTCAAACTTGGCGCCAAAACCTGCAACTTCAACCAGCAACATATTCCACACATTTCCAGCAAAATATCACCTACTTCAAAAATTCTAGCTTTTGTTTGGGGTGTGCCTTGTTCTACAGTTTCAGAGGAAAGAATCATTTGGCTTCACGATGGAGATTCAAAGAAATGAGTTGTTCAAGAACTCAGTAAATGAAACATGTCAATCAGATTTTGGTTGAAATGCAGTATCATATAATCATAGTTGGTACTGGTATTCGGGTTCAGCCTTTCCTTACATTCTTGGAAATGTCGCTTTATTCCCCCTCTACCCTTCAAATTTGTGATCTTGATTTTTTTGACCCGTTCAATAGGTTGGATTAGAAGATTCTTTGAGTACGATAGATAAAGGTATATTTGGTTTATTTGCTAGATGGATGGATGCCAAGTGCATGTGGATATGCTCTTTTCAAATTTCAAGGACTGGAAAGTACTAAACTATCGTATCCCTTGGCAAGTAGGTGGCTTTCTGTTGGTTATATGGCATGAAATGGTCTTACGAGAGAGAAAATGATGATCAACTAGTAAGAGAAAAGAGCTTAATATTGCTTTAGTCTAAACTGAAAGTTACAGCAGAATTTATACATGACAGACACTATTGCACCTAACCATAAAACATATTTTGTCCAAAAGACATCCTAACCACACATCTTAGCAACTCTGATACATCACATAATTTGATACAAAGTTGACACCAATACAAGCTGAATTCACCAAAATACATCACTTCAGCATGCCCAGATCAGCTAGTGAACTGCTCCAGACCAGCTTTCAAACTTCACCTTTTTCTTTGCCCCGAAACACCAGCTTAGTAATATAAAATATTGTTCAAGCAAATATCATCCTTTGAACACTCCCTTGATATTTTTGCTTGAGACACCAAGTTTAAGCTTCATGTCTTCAAACTTGGACTTACATAGGACTTAGTAAATATCAGCCAATGCATTTCCCCCCAGTGTGTCAATCTATTTCTCGATTGCTCAGCCTCCCTCACTCCTGAAACTTGATTTTTATGTGGCTTGTTCACCATGCATGACTGGATTCTTAGCCATGCAAGTGATTGATTATCAAAAAATTTAGTAGGCTCACACTGTTTCCTATATCAGCCAGCAATTTCTCAACCAAATAGCTTGATTTACTAGCTGCAGCTGATATGTATTCAGCCTCTGCAGTGGATTGTGCCACTATGCTCTTGGAAGACCAACAAAATGCACCATAATTCAGTAGGAATACATACCCTGATGGCTTCGCATGTCATCACAAGAGATCCCAATCACTGTCTGCATACCTATCAATCTAAAATTTTCAGATTCCATTGATTAGTTCTAATGAATATCAGCACCCTCTTGGCGCTTTAAGATGTCCTCACTTGGTTTGCTCATAATCTTGATAGGGACTAATTGAAAACATCAGCTCAGGCCTTGTTGTGTTAATAAACAAGCTCCAATATTCTCCTATAATCTGTCTCATTACCGTGGTGCTCCATCATCTTTACAGCCTTTGATTTTGCACCAAAGGTGTGGCAACAGACTTGCATCATCCATTCCAAATTTCTTAAGCACTCATTAGCATATCTCCATTGCAAATGAAAATGCCATCTTGAGATTGATGGATTTCCATTCCAAGATAAGTCATCACTCCAAATCAGTCATCTCAAACTCTTTGTGCATTGCTTTCTTGAACTCTTCAACCTGAATTCATTGTTTCCTCACCAACAAATCATCCACATACAAGGAAACCAATCACATCTTCATTGGCTTTTTTACATAAAAGTATGTCTCATTGGGGTCTTGCTAACCAAGACGACTAGGTAGTCATGTTTTTGCGTACCAAGCTCTTGGAGCTTGTTTCAGGCCATAAAGGCCTTTCTCAGTAAGTAAATGTCTTCTTTCCCCTTGATTCATTCCTCAGGTTGTTCAACAAAGATCTCCTCATCAACCAACCATTCAAGAAAGCTGACTTAACATCCATTTGATACACTTTCCACTTAATTGGGCCCAAAGCTAGACTAACTGATTGTATCAGTCTTGCAACGGGCAAATGTTTTGAAATCCACACCATGTTGTGTGCAAACCCTTTCACAACAACCTGGCTTTGTGCTTCAAAACTAACCATCAGATTATTTTTTCTTGAAGATCCACTTTACCTGGATCACTTTCTCTGTATAGGCCTGTCCACAATTCCCATGTTCCATTCTTCTATCATGGACAACTCCCTACATAGCAAGTCTCATTCCTTTGACTTAGTTGCCTCATGATAAGTGGTTCAAGCAATGCAACATTGCATCTCCCATAAATCTAGCAAGAGGTCTGGTCCCCTGACTGAAATTCTTCTTCTGTTTCAGAATCTGCCCCATCATTTGGTCACAATTTGTCTCTTTGTGGGCTGGATATACTGAATTTTCTTCTCTTCCCAATTCCAACACCTCTCATCAACCTTTACATCCTTGAAACAACTACCTTTCTTGTCTCTGGAATGAGATATTGTAAAGACCGTGGATGGATTTGCTACCAGTCCTCGTGGGAACGATATCCTACCCATCACTCTATTACTTGAGCGACTAGTATACTTGCTATTTTTTTGCATGTTGTATTAAACACGCATCACTGGGCAACCCCTTTACCACAACTGGCCCATCTGGATTCAACTTCTTCTTATACACTCATTTAACTTGAATTACTTTTCTCCTAACTGGTCTATCCACCAATTCCCAGGTTTCATTTTTGTCAATCATGCTTAGCTCCTCCTATATTGCTCTCCTCCATTCTTTCACTTTTGCAGCTTCAGAGTAGCAAGCTGGCTCCATCAAAGCCACATTACATTTCTCATAAATTTCTGTTTGTACCCCTTATAGGAGCTTCTGCTTCAGAGTTTGAACGGCCTTCTGAAGCTTCTTGGTTGTCCAAGGGATCTCCTCGTGGCTTTTGTATTTCTTTTCTCTCTACTTCATTTCTTTCCCAATTCCATGCAAAGGCTTCGTCAACTCTTACATCTTTATTGACAAGGAACTTCTTGGTCTTAGGATTATAAATCCTATAAGCCTTGGATAGGCTGCTGTATCCCACCAGAATTCATGTCTTTGACCTTTCATCCAATTCGGTCCTTTTGCTTGCTGGAATATGAGCATAACATATGCTCCCAAATATCTTCAGATTGTTAACACTTGGCTTCACACTATGCCAAGCTTCAAAATGTGTCTTGTTATCCAGGGCTTTAGTTGGCAGCCTATTAAGTAGAAACACTACTGTATTCATAGCTTCAGCCCCAAAAACACTTAGGAAGATTCTTTTCATACAACATGCACCTAGACATCTCCATCACAGTCCTTTTTTTTTCTCTCACTTACACCATTCTGCTATGGTGTGTATGGACTACTTAATTGGTGTCTTATTCCAACTCCTACACACACTTCTTCAAACTAATGTGAGGTGTATTCAGAGCCATTATCACTTATGATAGTCTTCAAGGTTAAACTAGTTTGGTTCTCCACCAATTCTTTGAATTTCTTAAACATTGTTGTCACCTCACTCTTTTGCTTCAAGAAGAAAACTCAGCACATCCTGGAAAAATCATTTATAAACAAGAGGAAGTATCTACTTCCACTTAGTAATGGTGTTTGCAAGGGGCAACACATATTAGTGTGTACAAGCTGGAGCTTCTTAGTAGTTCTCCAAGCTTGATTTGTTGGAAATGGTTGCCTGCTGAATTTGCCAAGTTGACTAACTTTGCAAACTCCTCATTTCTCATCAATTTTGGGTAGGTTATCCACCAAGTTTTTCTTCTTCATTTGCACCAAGCCAATATAGTGATAGTGACCAATCCTTTTGTGCCACATTTCTGTCTCATCAAGCTTAACAGATCGGGCTTGAGAGGCTGAATTCTTCCACTTTATTGGAAAGCGTTTCGCTAGCATTCCTACTCTCATTACTTCATTCTTATGCCTATGCTCTACAATGCAAGACATATTCTAGAAATGCAAGGAGTAATTCTTCTCTAGCATTTGGCCTATACTTAACAGACTTTGGTTTATTTCAGGAACATATAAGACATTTGAAATAAACTTTGTACCTGAAGGAGTTTGAACAACAATCTTGCCTCTTCCCTTGGCATCAACACAATCTCCATTTCCAATCTTTACTATAGACTGTTAGGAGTGATCAATTTCCACAAAGTTGGCTAGGTCTGGAATCATGTGGTTTGTGCACCTACTGTCTATCAACCAGACTTCACCAGGATTTTTCAATTTTGAGCAAGAGGCCATGAAGAGCTGTTCAGTCTCTTGACTTGGTTGCTGATTCTCCACTACTTGTACTTGTTGCTCTTGCCGATGTCCCTTATTTTTGCAAACCTTTTCTATATGCCCAAACTGCTTGCATACCTGCATTGTGTACCAGGTTTGAACCAGCATTTGCTTTCAGAATGGTTCTTCTTTTTACAATGTGGGCAAGGTGGAAATGACCTCAAACCACCATGCTTTCCTTCCTGGTAACAACTTTTCTATTTTTCCCTTCTTTTCACTAGTAGCTCTCTTATTTCCTCCCTGGCATGTTCTTCCCTTTTGACTAGCAACCATTACTCCCTTACTAAAGTCTTCTTGCCTAAAAAATCTCCTCTGCTCTTGTGCATGAAGAGCATGCACAAGTTCTACTAAACTGATATGGAACAGGTCTTTGGAGTCTTTAAGTGAAGAGATCTTTGTCTCAAATCTCTCAGGTAAACTGACCAAAACCTTCTCTATTATCCTCTTGTCAGTCAACTCTTCACCAAGTAACTTAATCTTGTTCACCACATTCATCAGCCTATCCACATACTCTTTGACAGACTCAGCCTCTTACATCTTAAGCATCTCAAGTTCTCTTCTCAGGTTTAGAACTTGCATGTTACGTGTTGTATTGTTTCCCCCAAACTCCTCCTTAAGCTTATCCTAAGCCTCTTTAGGAGTTTCACACGCCATGATCCTTGTGAATGCCTAGTCAATGACGGTTGAGTGAATACATGAGAAGGCTCTAGGTATCTTGGCTATCTCCTCCTCATGTATCCTTATCTGGTTCAAAGTTGGGTTTGCTCCAAGTTGAGGTGGCTGTCTCTCTTCTTTCACATACTGCCATAACCCATGACCTCCTAAATAAGTCTTCATTTTGATAGCCCAAATATAGAATTGATCACCATTGAAGATTGGAGGTAAAAATGAAACTGGAGCTGAAGCCATGAAGCAGATATGTAGAAGATGTTCAGAAGGAAATTTTAAGCAGATTTTGATCCAACGGGTTAGATGTCTCTGATGCCAATTATTGGTTTTTAGAGCCACAAGATACTAAGGAAAAGAGAGAAGGAAGAGAAGGAGGTTATTACTAACTGGTTTTCTATTCGTTCCAGAGTGTTACAAAGCAAATAAGAGTTTAAAGGCAAAAAACTTGCCACTGTTACACTAACTCTGTAGGACATTTCTGCAATCAATTCTAAACCATACATGTAAAACTGATGCTGGTATAAAACATTAAAATAAAACCATAATCACCGGCTACTATCACCTAAAGCTATCACAAAAAGACTTCAAAAAATCAGCTTCTTCACTAACTGTCATCTACCTAGCGACATTCAAACTTGGCGCCAAAAACCTGCAACTTCAACTAGCAATATATTCACACATTTCCAGCAAAATATCACCTACTTCAACAACGTCTAGCTTTTCTGTTTTGGGTTGTGCCTTGTTCTACAGTTTCAGAGGAAAGAATCATTTGGCTTCTTCGATGGAGATTCAAAGAAACGAGTGTTTCAAGAACTCAGTAAATGAAACAGTCCCCCCCCCCCCCCCCCAATCAGATTTTGGTGAAATGCAGTTATATATAATCATAGTTGGTGCTGGTATTGCTGGTTCAGCCTTTCCTTACATTCTTGGAAATGTCGCTTTATTCCCCCTCTTACCCTTCAAATTGTGATCTTGAATTTTTTTGACCGTTCAATAGGTTGGATTAGAAGATTTTGAGAGACGATAGATAAAGTTATTATTTGGTTTATTGTGGATGGATTAGATGCCAAGTGCATGTGGATATGCTCTTTTCAAATTTCAAGGACTGGAAAAGTACTAAACTATCATATCCATTGGCAGGTAGGTGCTTTCTGTTGGTTATATGAGCATGAAAGTGGTCTTACGGGGAGAGAAATGATGATCAACTAGTAAGAGAAAAGAGCTGTTAATATTTGCTTTAGTCTAAACTGAAAGTTACAGTAGAAGTTTATACATGACAAACACTATTGCACCTAACCATAAAACATATTTTAGTCCAAAATGACATCCTAACCACACATCCTTAGCAACTCTGATTACACACATTAATTTGATACGAAAGGTACAACCTAAATACAAGCTGAATTCACCAAAATACATCACTTCAGCATGCCTGCAGATCAGCTATGTGAACTGCTCCAGACCAGCTTTCAAACTTCAGCCTTTTTCTTTTGCCGCCAGAACACAATCTAGTTTAATCCAAAATATTGTTTCAAGCAAAATATCACTCCTTTGAACACTCCTCCTTGATATTTTGCTTGAGACACCAAGTTTAAGCTTCATGTCTTCAAACTTGGACTACATAGGGACTTAGTAAATATGTCAGCCAATTGTATTTCCCCCTGTAGTGTGTCAATCTAATTTACCGGATTGCTCAGCCTCCCTCACTGCATGAAACTTGATTTTATGTGCTTAGTTCAACCATGCATGACTGGATTCTTAGCCATTGCAATGGCGATTGATTATCATAGAAAATTTCAGTAGGCTCACACTGCTTTACCTCTATATCAGCCAGCAAATTCTCAACCAAATAGCTGATTTACGCATGAAGGATGAATGTATTTAGCCTCTACAGTGGATTGTGCCACTATGCTTCTTGGAAGACCAACAAAAATGCACCATAATTCAGTAGGAATACATACCCTGATGTGCTTCGCATGTCATCACAGGAGCATCCCTAATCATGTCTGCATACGCTATCAATCTGAAATTTTCAGATTCCGAACAGATTCCATGATTTGCAGTTCCTCTAATGAATCTCAGCACCCTCTTGGCGCTTTAAGATGCTCCTCACTTGGTTTGCCATAAATCTTGATAGAGACTAATTGAAAACATCAGCTCAGGCCTTGTTCGGTTAAGTACAACAAGCTTCCAATCATTCTCCTATAATCTGTCTCATCTACCGTGGTGCTATCATCTTGCATAGCCTTGATTTTGCACCAAAGGTTGGCAACAGACTTGCAATCATCCATTCCAAATTTCCTAAGCATCTCATTAGCATATCTCCTTTGACAAATGAAAATGCCATCTTGAGATTGATGGATTTCCATTCCAAGGAAGTAAGTCATCACTCCCAAATCAGTCATCTCAAACTCTTTGTGCATTGCTTTCTTGAACTCTTCAACCTGAATTCCATTGTTTCCGTCACCAACAAATCACCCATATACAAGGAAACCATAATCACATCTTCATTGGCCTTTTTTACATATAAAGTATGCTCATTGGGGCTTCTTGCATAACCAAGACTGACTAGGTAGTCATTGATTTTGCTGTACCAAGCTCTTGGAGCTTGTTTCAAGCCATACAAGGCCTTCTCAGTAAGTACACCTCGTTTCTTCCCTTGATTTCATATCCATCAGGTTGTTCAACAAAGATCTCCTCATCCAACCAACCATTCAAGAAAGCTGACTTAACATCATTTGATACACTTTCCACTTAAATTGGGCTGCCAAAGCTAGAACTAACCTGATTGATCAATGTCTTGCAACGGGGCAAATGTATCTTAGAAATCCACACCATGTTGCTTGCAAACCCTTCACAACCAACTGGCTTTGTGCTTCAAAACTAAACCATCAGAATCAGTTTTTCTTGAAGATCCACTTTACTGGATCACTTTCCTCTGGTAGGCCTGTCCACAAGTTTCCATGTTCCATTCTTTTCTGTCATGGACAACTCCTCCTACATAGCAAGTCTCCATTCCTTTGACTTAGTTGCCTCATGATAAGATGTTGGTTCAAGCAATGCAACATTGCATTCCCAAAATCTGAGAAGAGGTCTGTTCCTGACTGAAATTTCTTCCTTGTTCAGAATCTGCCCATCAGTTTGGGCAACATTGTTCTCTTTGCTGTGGCCATGGATCTACTTGAATTTTCTTCTCTTCCAATTCACACTGACCTCTCATCAACCTTTACATCCCTTGAAACAAACTACCTTTCTTGTCTCTGGAATGAAGATCTGTAAGCCTTGGATTGGATGTTGTAACCTACCAGAATTCCATCCTTGCTTTGTCATCCAGCTTTGACCTTTTGATGGCTAGTGATGAGTACATAGCATATACTCCAAATATTCTTAGATGATCCACTTGAGGCTTAACTCCATACCATGCTTTAAATGGAGTTTGATCCTTTAAAGCTTTGGTTGGAAGCCTATTCAGCAAATACACACATTGTATTGACAGATTCAGCCATAATTCTTTGGCAGCTCCTTTTAGTCAGGAAACACCTGGACATCTCCTTACTGTCCTATCTTTCTCTCACTCACTCCATTTTTGTGGGGAGTGTAGGGACAACTAAACTGATGCCATATCCAGCCTCCTACAAGTTGATTCAAATCATTTGAGGTGTATTCACCTTCATTGTCACTTCTCACAGCCTTGATCTTTACCCATCTTGGTTTTCAACTTCAGCTTTGAACCTCCTAAACACAGCAGCACTTCCCTTTTGCTTTAGGAAGTACACCCAAGTCATTCTTGAATGATCATCATAAACAAGATAAAGAATCTGGATCCATTCAGGATGTGGTCTACATTGGTCCACACACATCAGTGTGCACCAATTGGAGCTTTCTAGTAGCTTCCAGGCCTGATTTGTAGGAAAGGTGGTCTGCTAAGCTTCCCTATTGGCATACTCTACATAAAATCTCTTTCTCTTCTATTTTGGGTAAGGTGTGTACCATCCTTTAAGCTTCATTTGCTTAAGTCCAGCATAATGGTAATGACCATATCTTTTATGCCATATGTTTGTATCATCTGAGTTTACTGTCAACATGAAACTCGGTTTTTAAGTTCAATGGAAGCTTTTCCCAACCTTTTCACATGCATCATCACTTTCCTCATCATCTAATATGGTGCAGGTTTTATTTTAAAATGCAGAATGTAATTTCTTTCAAGCATTTGTCCTACACTAAGCAGATTTTGGTTGATTTCGGAACAAATAATACATTGTAAATAATCTTTGTAACTATCATGGTCTGCACAGCCACATTCCCCTGCCTTAACTTTCACAAGTTACAATTCCCACCTTACACTTGACTGGTATGCTTGATCCAACTTCACAAAATTCTCCAGATCAGGTGTCATGTGGTTTGTACATCCACTATCAATCAGCCCAGTTCCACATTGAACTGAATAGCATAGCAGGATGCCACAAAAAGCTGCGATTCAGAATTCTGCTGCAAATCTTCAACGTCTGTGCAAGTTGCTGTTGTTTATTTTTGCAGACCTTTTCAATATGGCCTAGCTGCTTGCATGCCTGCATTGAACATTTGGTCTGAACCAGCACTTGTACTCAGCATGGTTCTTCTTTTTGCAGTGGGAACATGGTGCAAAATCTTGAAACCTGCTGGTTTGTTCCACTGATTGTTTACTCTCTCTTTCCTCTTTTCCTCCTCCAAACTTCTTGTTTCCTCCCTGAGTTGGCTTGCTCTTACTGGACAAACAATGTAGCTTCACCACTATCCTTTGCCTTAGTTTTCTTCTTTGCTCTTGGGTTGAAGAGCATGGACAAGTT